TCGTGTGTGTACCTCTTTAGGCGGCTGGCCAAAGCTTGGAGCCTTTGTTTGGCAGTTTCGAGTGCTTCAGGTATGGGCAACTGGTTGTACCTCTTGGGCACTTGCTTTTTCATTGCACCTTTCTGGGCCTCTGACAGTTGGCTCACTTCTCTCCGCACCTCCTTGATTTTAGCCTCTAACCGTCTTTGCCATGGTGGGTATTGTATCGCATGGCTCCCATGGTTGCTCTTATAGCCCAACACATCTAGGATCACTGCTGCTGAATTGGTTGGTTTGGGATGAATGTATTGTGTGTGTTTTTGTTCCTTTTGAAGCAAATGAACAAATGGACGGAGCCGCTCCCTGTAAATCCACTCACTGCCCCAAAGCTCAGAGGTAAGAGACGATCTGTAACCCTCCACCACTGTTCTCCATGTCAGAGCTCAGACTAAAGCCACTGCTCCATCTGTGTCCACAGACCTGCTCCTGTGTGTCCAACTCCACAGGACCTGCTCCTGTGTGTCTCTGAAGAGTGACAATGACTCAGTGGAACGAGGCATAAATTTTAACCCAGAACCTCATCCACAGTACGTGAAGCTTCTTTAAATAAATCAGGTCAACACTGAGGTTTGCCTGAGATCATCTGTCAACAGTAAAGTACAAATGGTATTGTGAAAATATATGATGAGTTTAATGAGAAATGGGAGGTTAGAGGCTCTGTAGTTGTTGGGAGAGTTATTTTTAAAGAATTCATACTTTATATCTGCTCAAAAAACTTAAAGAACACTTTGAAAACACATCAGATCTCAATGTGAAAAAAAAAAAGTTGGATATCTGTACAAATATGGACAGGGAAATGTCTTAGGAACAAAATGATACCACCTCTTTTAATGGAAATGAACAACCGAACAACAGCCGATGCTTTATAATGACGTGACCGTTCAATTGACAGTGTGACCTCAAATTACCTCGTATCGTCACCAAACTTTTTTTGGGGGGACATTGGGCACGGGGGCTTGACCCACGTATCAAATTTGGAGACAATCGGTCCATAAATTGCAGAATTATCGCAGGTGGACAGACACAGACACACAGGGTGAAAACAAAACCTGGTCAACCCTTCGGGGACCAGGTCATAATTTGGGTATTCCTTCTTTTTCATTCCATTTCTGATTATACAATTTAACACATCTCAAGATGTGTATTTAATGTAGTGTTTCCTTATTGGGCAGTGCTTGTCATATAATTTCCATAGGTTGTTTAGACTAATAAAAGACATGTAAAACACATGACACTGATGCACATATTTTGCACAAACACAGTCCATGTCAGAGCTCAGATTAAAGCCACTGCTCCATCTGTGTCCACAGACCTGCTCCTGGGACCAGCGGGGTTTCACTGAAGAGTGACGTTCCACTAGAAGGATTGACGGATGAACCTGTTCCACAGTATGTCACACTAACAACCTCTTAGACTGATACTTCTATACTGATTTTAGGTTTTTATGAGTTAAATGTTAATAATTTGGCAGAAATATAGACTGTCTAGGCTCTGGGGAGGTTCAGACATGGTTTTAGATGAGTAAATAACACTTGACCAAGGCAAATAAAGGCAGGGAAGGTACTTTTCAGTTTTTGCTGAAATGTATGATATAAAAAATATTCCACAAATACAAATCTGGAACCACAACAGACTAGAGATTTTTCTGTGAGTGACTGTTCTAAGGAGCATCCAATGACAAAAGAATAATTTCTATGAGTGATGTTTACAAGAAATATTGTTGACTGGATGTTTTTATGTTTTATCTTTTACAGAGAGAAGCAGCAGGGTCTTAAATTGTCATTCAGGGAATTGTTCTGACGTTTGTGGGCGTAAACTGAAGTCTAACCTGCAGCAGAAGTTTACGTGTGTGTTTGAGGGCATCGCTCATGCAGGAAACTCCCACACTTCTGAATGAGTTCTACACAGAGCTCTACATCACAGAGGGAGAGTCTTCAGAGGTCAACCAGGAACATGAGGTCAGACACATGGAAACAGCCTCCATAACACCAGGTCCCAGCAGAGAAAACCATCACATGTGAAGACATGTTTAAAGGTCCCAGCTCACACACATGGAGCCATCAGAACAGTGCTGACAAAGGGAGTGGCTGGCATCGGGAAAACAGTGCTCACTCAGAAGTTCAGTCTGGACTGGGCTGAAGGCAAAGCCAACCAGGACATTGACCTGGTGTTCCCGTTCACTTTCAGAGCACTCAATGTGCTGAAGGAGAGAAGCTTCAGCTTGGTGACACTTATTCGTCACTTCTTTAGTCAAACACAAGCAGAAACCTGCAGCTATGAAGACCTCCAGGTGCTCTTCATCTTTGACGGTCTGGACGAGTGCAGACTTCCTCTGGACTTCACCGAAACCAAGGCCCTGACCGACCCCACAGAGTCCGCCTCAGTGCACGTGCTGCTGGTGAACCTCATCAGGGGGAGCCTGCTTCCCTCCGCTCGCCTCTGGATAACCACACGACCCGCAGCGGCCAATCAGATCCCTGCTGAGTGCGTCTCCATGGTGACAGAGGTCAGAGGGTTCACCGACCCACAGAAGGAACAGTACTTCAGGAAGAGGTTCAGAGACGAGGCCGACACAATCATCTCCCACATCAAGACGTCCAGAAGCCTCCACATCATGTGCTACATGCCGATCTTCTGCTGGATCTCTGCCACAGTCCTGGAGCATCTGTTGAAAAGCAGAGGAGAGCTGCCCAAGACCCTGACTCAGATGTACATCCACTTCCTGGTGGTTCAGGCCAAAGTCAAGAACATCAAGTATGAAGAAGGATCTGAGACAGACCCACACTGGAGTCCAAAGACCAGGAAGATGGTGGAGTCTCTGGGAAAACTGGCCTTTGAGCAGCTGCAGAAAGGAAACCTGATCTTCTACGAGAGTGACCTGAGTGAGTGTGGGCTGGACGCTGCAGCGGCCTCAGTGTACTCTGGAGTGTTCACACAGATCTTTAGAGAGGAGCCAGGACTGTACCAGGACAAGGTCTACTGCTTCATCCATCTGAGTGTGCAGGAGTTTCTGGCTGCTCTTCATGTCCATCAGACCTTCATCAACACTGGGATCAACCTGCTGTCAGAGAAAACACGGAAGTTTACAAAGTCCAGTTTTGAAAGAAAACTAAATCGTCTTTACCAAACAGCTGTGGACCAGGCCGTACAAAGTCCAAATGGACACCTGGACCTGCTGCTTCGCTTTCTCCTGGGTCTTTCACTGTCGACCAATCAGCACCTTCTGCAAGGTCTGCTGACAGAGACAGGAAGTAGCTCTCAGACCAATCAGAAAACAGCTGAGTACATCAAGAAGAAGCTGAGTGAGGATGTGTCTGCAGAGAGGAGCATCAACCTGCTCCACTGTCTGAATGAACTGAATGAGTGTTAAATTATGTGGTAAGAAAGAAACACAATCTAAATACACTTTTTTTTTTTTTTAAATTGGTGATTTAAATATAACTTCAGACTGGTGTCATATTTTTCAGACTGGAGTGTGTTGGTGCTGGGAGGTTGGCACCAGGGCTCAGAAAGTGTAAGTGTTGAGTTCCTTCTATTTGAAACAGACACAAGATTTATTTTAAAAGATGCAAAAAAAACAAAAAAAAACAAAACCCAAGGCACTCACTGGTTAAAATAAAATGTCTTTATTAATTTACAGCATGTCTTAATGGACAGTGTTGTCAGTGTTGTCCATTAAGACATGCTGTAAATGAATAAAGGTATTTTATTTTAACCAGTGAGTGTCTTGGGTTTTTTGCATCTTTTTCCTGACTTCCCTTCCCAAAGAGCACCAATGAGTTTTATCTACTGTATATTATCCTCTGGAGGTCCAGGAAGTGCTTCTTTTTGAAACCTTTATTATAAGGCTTATTTTAAATTAATACAAGGCACAATGTATGATGGGAAATGGAGTCCTCACATAAAAATATATATTGTTGTGTGAGAGACTGCAGAGTGTGTGGTCCACGGTCAGTCCTCCTCATCACTAGAACCACAGCAGATATCACACAAACACTGACAAAAGGACAGCAGCTGTGGACAACTCCTGAAACAAAGTCTACGTTCAGACTGCAGGGCTTAACCCTCAATTCCAATTTTTTGTGAAATCCGATGTTTTTGCGAGGTCGTTCACATTTCCAATTAAATGCGACTTGTATGTGACTCCAGTGTGAACGTTAAACGGCCCGAAAGTGTCCCACATGTGCACTGGAGTTTACAGAGCTCTGTTTTTACGGAAGTTGTCCAAACATGGACGCAGCATCGAGCACCTGGAGATTTTAAAGTTCCTCTCGTACCGGAGCCAGAACATGAACAACTTAGGCTGCGTTCAGACTGCAGCCTGAAGTGACCCAAATCCGATTTTTTGGCTTCTATGTGACCTGTATCCGATCTTTTAATGTCAGTCTGAACGGCACAGATCCAAATTTTTCAAATGTGACTCAGGACCACTTGGATATTTGCTCCTGAAACCGATACATATCCGATCTTTTGACATGCGACTTCAGTCTGAACGGCCAAAGCGCATCCATCCGACCTATACGTCATTAACAAGCGACAAACGTCACTATTCTGCACTGAAGCAGGCGGAAACCGGAACTGTAAAATCTCCAGGTGCTCGATGCTGCGTCCATGTTTGGACAACTTCCGTAAACACAGAGACGCTCGCTGCGGTTGACGCATGGGGTTGACGTCGTCGTGTCTCCAGTGTCACATGCGGGACACTTTCGGGCCGTTTACCGTCACACAGACAAGTCGCATTTAATTGGAAATGTGAACGACCTCGCAAAAACATTGGATTTCACAAAAAAATCGGAATTGAGCATTAAGCCCTGCAGTCTGAACGTAGCCTTACTTGTTTTAAGTAGGAGATTGAGAAGGAGAAGGACGAGGTTTTTGGTCGTGGTGTTTTGTGGTTCAGTCCGTTGAAAGGAACGTGTGGATGTGGAGACGGAGCCAAGAGTGGTGAGTGGAGATGTGCTTCACTTCAGTCACACGGAGTTCATTAACAATTTTCTCCTACTTCAGTGCAGAATAGTGACGTTTGTGTCTTGTTGATGACGTGTAGGTGGATGAATGCACTTTGGCCGTTCAGACTGAAGTCACATGTCAAAAGATCAGATATGTATCAGTTTCAGGAGCACAGATCCAAGTGTCCTGGGTCACATTTGAAAAAATCAGATCTGTGTCGTTCAGACTGTCATTAAAAGATCAGATACAGGAACATAGGGGCCAAAAAATCAGATTTGCGTCACTTCAGGCTGCAGTCTGAACGTAGCCACAGAGCCACATGTCTCAGCCCCTGAGTGAACCAAGAACCATCAGAGCCTCTGCTGCTGGAGCAAAGGAGGAGCTGAGGAGCCACAAAGACACAGACACAACTGTTGGACTCAGGACTGTCTACACACAAGCACAAGTGACTGTGGATTCATATAGAGACATTTTAAAAGAGAAAGTGTGTGTCCTGGAGCACAGAGGAGTGTAGGAATGTGTGGAGTGACGTCAGAGACTGAAGCTGCACTTTGTCACTGCAGCAACAATCTCAAATTTCACACTGAAAATGAAATGAAATAGATATGTGTGACGCTACGAAACAAAAGGAAATACAGTTGATGCAAAATAAATATTAGCCAAAAACAAGACTGCACTGACTGAATATAAAATAATAATACAAATACTTTAATCATAAATTACTGAAACCCTTTAAATCGTCTTTCATTAAACTATAATTAAATTTGTGTCTGCACAGGGGACTAACTGTTGTTGTGTTGTTTCTTCTCTCCATCAGATTTCTGTGATCTCACTCTGGATCCAAACACAGCGAACAGAAAACTCAAACTGTCTGACAACAACAAGAAGATGACACGTGTGAAAGAGCAGCGGCCGTATCCAGATCATCAGGACAGATTTGAGACTGGTCGCTGTTGCTGGGAGGTCGACTGGAGTGGAGGAGTTTCTATTTCGGTGTCTTACAGAAGAGTCAAAAGGAAAGGAGACAGTGTCAGTTTGTTTGGACACAGTGGTCAGTCCTGGAGCTTGAACACTTCTAAAGACGGTTCCTCTGTTTGACATAATAACAAACGAGTCTCTCATCCCTGGTCCTCTTCTTGTGGGAGAGTAGCAGTGTTTGTGGACTGTCCTGCTGGTTCTCTGTGCTTCTACACAGTCTCCTCTGACCAACTGACCCACCTCCACACCTTCAACACCACATTCACCCAGCCTCTGTTCTCTGGATTTGTGTTCTGGTCTTATGGTTCCTCAGTGTCTCTGTGTGCTCCAACAGACTCAGCCTCCTCTATGTAAAATAGAATAGTCAAATATAAAATACAAACATATTTTGTAAATGTTGATTTTATTTGTATTATACATCTTATAATTATTATTTTTTTGATAGGAACAGACTCTTCTCAAAGACAAACTGCAGCCATGAGCCTCACACTAGTGTCTGTATTGAACAAATCACTGTGTCCCAATACGAACTTTACAAAATCAAACATATGGAACCACATGCAGTGAGTGTACAGTCTGTATGGTACGTTGTGACCACAGCGGCTTGTCAAAGTCTGATCCCGTCAGAACTCAGACGCTCAGCAGGACAGGGCCTGGTTAGTACTTGGCTGGGAGATTGTTAAATACCTGGGTGTCCTTAATTGACTCCGTGACCCACTTTTGGGGTGTGGGTGTGGTTACGCGCTGGTGTACAATCTCAATAAACGGCAGCAGCTCACTTCCACTGAGTGAGTGTGTGCAGGCCAAACTAACTCCATGTCATTGCTTTTATTTTGTCCTCCGAATTTACTCTTTCTCTTACCTCGATGGCTGCGCTAACAACAGAGACACTGGGAAAATCAGGAGCCACAGGAGGCGCCAGAGGCAAAAACTGTCGTTGTGTCTGTCAGTCTGTCCCAGGGCAGCTGTGGCTACAACAGTAACTTACCATCACCAGGCATGGAGTGAATGAATAATGCTGAGTAATGATCTGTAAAGTGTCTTTGTGACAAATGTCTGTGAAAAGCTCTATAGAAATAAAGACTTACTTACGTTAGTCCTAAATAGTTTGACTGGGTTCAGTACTTCCATAATAAAATATGTATGAAGGATGAGGAGACATAGAGATGAAGATCATATCATGTAAAAAACCTGGGCGTCATTTTTGACTCTGAGTTGACTTTTATCCCACACGTTAAGAACATCACAAAAATTGTTTTTATCACCTAAAAAACATAACCAGAGTCTGTCCCATTCTCTCTCTCTCTGGCCGACACAGAGACGCTGATGCTTTTATCACCAGTCGAACAGACGACTGTAAAGTCCTGATCTCTGCTCTTCCCAAAAAGTCTATTTCAGGTTTACAATTATTACAAAATTCAGCAGATCACATCACACCGGTGTTAAAATGACTGTATTGGTACTGTGAGTTTCAGGATCGATTTTAAATCATCACTACAAGTACCACTACTACTACTACTACTACACTACTACTACTACTACTACTACTACTACTACACTACTACTACTACTACTACTACTACTACTACTACTACTACTACTACACTACTACTACTACTACACTACTACACTACTACTACTACTACACTACTACACTACTACTACTACTACTACTACTACTACTACTACTACTACACTACTACTACTACTACTACTACTACTACTACTACACTACTACTACTACTACTACTACTACTACTACTACTACTACTACTACTACTACTACACTACTACTACTACTACTAATTCTACTACTACTACTACTACTACTACTACTACTACTACTACTACTACTACTACACTACTACTACTACTACTACTACTACTACTACTACTACTACTACTACTACTACTACTACTACTACTACTACTACTACGACTACACACTACTACTACTACTACTACTACTACTACTACTACTACTACACTACTACTACTACACTACTACTACTACTACTACTACTACTACTACTACTACTACTACTACTACTACACACTACTACTACTACTACTACTACACACTACTACTACTACTACTACTACTACTACTACTACTACTACTACTACTACTACTACTACTACTACTACTACTACTACTACTACTACTACTACTACTACTACTACTACTACTACTACTACTACTACTACTACTACTACTACTACTACTACTACTACTACTACTACTACTACTACCACTACTACTACTACTACTACTACTACTACTACTACTACTACTACTACTACTACTACTACTACTACTACTACTACTACTACTACTACTACTACTACTACTACTACTACTACTACTACTACTACTACTACTACTACTACTACTACACTACTACTACTACTACTACTACCACTACTACTACTACTACTACTACACTACTACTACTACTACTACTACACTACTACTACTACTACTACTACTACTACTACTACTACTACTACTACTACTACTACTACTACTACTACTACTACTACTACTACTACTACACTACACTACTACTACTACTACTACTACTACTACTACTACTACTACTACTACTACTACTACTACTACTACTACTACTACTACTACTACTACCACTACTACTACTACTACTACTACTACTACTACTACTACTACTACTACTACTACTACGACTACTACTACTACTACACTACTACTACTACTACTACTACGACTACTACTACTACTACTACTACGACTACACTACTACTACTACCACTACTACTACACACTACTACTACTACTACCACTACACACTACTACTACTACTACTACTACTACTACTACTACTACTACTACTACTACTACTACTACTACTACTACTACTACTACTACTACTACTACTACTACTACTACTACTACTACTACTACACTACTACTACTACTACTACTACTACTACTACTACTACACTACTACTACTACTACTACTACACTACTACTACTACTACTACTACTACTACTACTACTACTACACACTACTACTACTACTACTACACTACTACTACTACTACTACTACTACTACTACTACTACTACCACTACTACTACTACTACTACTACTACTACTACTACTACTACTACTACACTACTACTACTACTACACTACACACTACTACTACTACTACTACTACTACTACACACTACTACTACTACTACTACTACTACTACTACTACTACTACTACTACTACTACTACTACTACTACTACTACTACTACTACTACTACTACTACTACTACACTACTACTACTACGACTACACACTACACTACTACTACTACCACTACACACTACTACTACTACTACTACGACTACACTACTACTACTACTACTACTACTACTACTACTACTACTACTACTACTACTACTACTACTACTACTACTACGACTACACTACTACTACTACTACACTACTACTACTACTACTACTACTACTACTACTACTACTACTACTACTACTACTACTACTACTACTACTACTACTACTACTACTACTACTACTACTACTACTACTACTACTACTACTACTACTACTACTACTACTACTACTACTACTACTACTACTACTACTACTACTACTACTACCACTACTACTACTACTACTACTACCTACTACTACACTACTACTACTACTACCACTACTACTACTACTACTACTACTACTACACTACTACTACTACTACTACTACTACTACTACTACTACTACTACTACTACTACTACTACTACTACTACTACTACTACTACTACTACTACTACTACTACTACTACTACTACTACTACACTACTACTACTACTACTACTACTACTACTACTACTACTACTACTACACACTACTACTACTACTACTACACACTACTACTACTACTACTACTACTACTACTACTACTACTACTACTACTACTACTACTACTACCACTACACACTACTACTACTACTACTACTACTACTACTACTACTACTACTACTACTACTACTACTACTACTACTACTACACTACTACTACTACTACTACACTACACACTACTACTACTACTACCACTACTACTACTACTACTACTACTACTACTACTACTACTACTACTACTACTACTACTACTACTACTACACTACTACTACTACTACTACTACCACTACCACTACTACTACTACGACTACACACTACTACTACTACTACGACTACACTACTACTACTACTACGACTACACACTACTACTACACACTAATACTACTACTCTGCTGCTACTTCAAACACTGCTGCTGTTACTACTATTACAACAAATACTACTACTACAAAGTATTGAAGTAGTAGTGCATCAGACAGAAGCAGTTGCACATAAACAGGAAGAAGGCGAGTCCATCGTTCTGTCAATCACAGTCAGCCCCGCCCACTTGCGTGTGTTTAAAGGATAAATATAAATGTTAAAAGTTTATGAATAATAAAATTAAAAGGAAATAAATAAATAAACTAAGTAAAAGTCATTGTAAAAACAAACACATTTTAGTTGATTAATACCTAGAATATATGAATATATAAACAGATTTATTTATGTACATATATTTGTATTCACTATTTAATTCATCTTACCAACATTTATTATTTTATTTATTTATTCCCAATTATGTCATTTCTGGTCCTTCACACACAGAAACACTTCCTGACATTGACCAGAGGGGGGCAGTGTTTGAAAATCTGCGAGAGAGACACTCTTGAAATACAAATAACACAGATTTAAGTATTTTAAACTCTTCAAATTGTGTTTTTTCTCATAAAGATTTTTGCGTATTGATGACAAAGATTGAGGGAATAATTTGTAGAACACATCTCCACTTCCTGTCAATTTCAACTTTTTGTTTTCAGATTTTCCTCACAAACAGCGACTAAAATTACATAAAACTATCATGAAAATTACACACAACATAGAGGTAATTTAATAACTGTAGCAAACATACTCATCTAATTTACAAAATTATGAAATGAATGTTTAAACTCTTACAAATTGTGTTCTTTGCTTGAAAATTCTTTGTGTATTTTAGTTAGAATTTTGTGTATTGGTGACACAGATATAGAGGGAACCAATCTTAGAGCACATCAACACTTTTATTTTAAAACTTTCTTCACAAACTTTAACTTGAATGATGTAAAACTATCATGAATATTTATCGCAAACACTAACTCACCAAATGGAGTATTAATTAACAGTGTTGGGAAGGTGATTTTTAAAATGTAATCCCCTACAGATTACAGATTACATACCCCAAAATGTAGTTTGTAACGTAATCCATTAAATTACTTAAAGTGAGTAACGTAATCTGAATACTTTGGATTACTTGGTTTGTTGTAGAGAAGCAAAGACGAGGAAACTTAACCGTATTAAAAATATTATTGATAGAAGACGAGGAGACACGTCCGCGCAGCATTATTTAGTCCTGTTAAATCCTGTTAAATCCTGTTTTAGTCCTGGTTTAGATCTAGTTTAGACCTGTTTTAGTCCTGGTTTAGTCCTGGTTTAGTCCTGGTTTAGATCTAGTTTAGACCTGGTTTAGACCTGTTTTTAGTCCTGGTTTAGATCTAGTTTAGACCTGGTTTTAGTTCTGGTTTAGTCCTGGTTTAGATCTAGTTTAGTCCTGGTTTAGACCTGTTTTAGTCCTGTTTTAGTCCTGGTTTAGATCTAGTTTAGACCTGTTTTAGTCCTGGTTTAGATCTAGTTTAGTCCTGGTTTAGACCTAGTTTAGACCTGGT